AATAATATTGGGTTCAATATTGAATTAATAATAAAAGGATCATCCACCAAATGATCGCAATGAACATTTATTAAGTGAATGATATTGGATCAATATGATCCTGTGTGATCTTTCAAAAGATTTTCTCCGAGACAAGTTGAGAATCTTTACGGAAGGATATTGATCTCTTATTTCTAATTGGATTAAAGTTTACAATGAGTTATATATTCTCAATTGTATATTATATTGTCATTGACTATTTGCTGAATTGTTTAGAAATCTAGTTTTTTAGAATAATATTAAAAAGTTTGTGAGCGAACTGTTTTCCATGTAAGAGCTATTTTCTTCTTGTTTTTCAATGTTGTTTTACATTGTTTTTTAATACCCTTAATACTATTTGTAGTAGTACTACTATTATTATTAGTACAGGCAATTAAGCTATTACTTGTACAACTACAACTATTATTATCATTAGATATTATTTCATTAATGGTATTCTTATTATCATTGGTATTATGATCTTGTATTGATTTATTAGTACAACATTCAAGTATTGCACTCAATAGTTCAATTCTCTTGTCATGAGACATTGTATTGATACATTGACAAAATAATTGTTCATCCTTATTCCTATATTTGAATAAAATGTTAGATGTTGATGATTCATAATTACAGTAATTTTATAACATAATGTCGGTTAGTACATACATGAATTCTATCAATAAGTTCATTAGCTCTCCCATACTTGAGGGAAGATAACAACACTCTTGTTGAGACATTTTTTATTGCTGTTATAGAATGATTGTACAATGAATGGAGTTCTCTTTCAATCAGCCAACCTGAGCTACTTTTATAGAGTTGTGCACTTTTTTGAATTTTCAAATTGCCATTTTATTGAATGTTGAGTTACTTGAGATTGGGGATCTAATCTAAATATGTAAAAATACGATTTCAATGAACAAGATATAATCTCTAAAAAGGCTTTCAAGTTCATTTGAACATTTAGAGTAATGTTACGTTTGCGCAACAATGGGCAAACAGCAGAACCGACATTAAGTTATAAAATTACTGTAATTATACTCCGTTCTAATCTGAGAACATTAGTGGTGGACTCAATGATGAAAAATGTAGTTGTTTGCTGCGCATTTTGATTCAGAGCTCCCAACAAACAAGTAAAGCAAACTTTAATAGATTATGATTCTTGGCATTAAGAAGTATGTTCCAAAAGTTAAAATTAAAACTAATAGGGGACCAGTGGGAATCGAACCCACGGCCTCTCGCACCCAAAGCGAGAATCATACCACTAGACCATGGTCCCTTACACATTAATTACGGTTTTGTAAGGCAAACAAATGATCTAATGGCGCTTGACCAACATTGAAAAACAATTAATTGTATAAAGAGAAGAATGCTATTGACAAAAATATAACTATACCAGATACATTAAATCACATTTATATACATCTGGTATCAATTTCATACTGTTAATTCAATAAATCAATAGGGGAGAATCTTAATTCCAAAATTAAGTTTTGCCATCATATCACATTACAGTTAGTATTTCGAAATCATTTGCAAACTATCTACATAGTATAATTTTCAAACTGACTCAGATTATCTGTAAAATGATACTACTTTCCATACTTTTTCATCAAATTTCTTTCCGAGAACGAACCAAGTTCAATGGATAAATATTTAAAAATACAAGTTTTTAAATAACAAAATAATTGATAAATTACGTTTTTTGGTATCTATACAATATATTTCAGAGAGATTGCCATGTGAAATTGGTTTTTAAGCTGTTGTAATTAATTATATATTTTTCAAAAAGACAAATTGATTATTTACTAGTGAAATACAACCATTAAAAACATTACAATTCATGAATAGTATGATCGTCAAGTACTAATTTTATGCTTGCTATGCAATAGCAAAACAAGTACTGGCTCCAGCGAAAAAGTTGGAGGCTTAAGGGATTGAAAAACAGTTTACGAACAACTTGTAAGTCACAACTCTAAAAAAAAATAACAGAAGTGGTGCTACCTCATCCTCATCATCAACAGAATCATGATTTCCAATGATCAAAAAATATCATCATCATCAACATCAATAGCATCATTAAAATTAAATGATTCAATTGATATACCAGATGAATATTATATAAATATAGAAGAATATAGTGAAGAATTAATTGAATTTCCNTGAAAAGTATAATTTTTCATCCTCACAATTTTCAAAATATTTTGAATTTCATCAAGATTATAATTATAATTTAAAATTAATGAGAAGATTTATTCAATCTCAAACTAATTTAATATTTAAACAATCTTATTATAATTTAATTAATAATGAAAATAATAATGAAAATCAAAATGAAAATAATTTAATTAATAATGAAAATAATAGTAAAAATAAAATTATAAAAATAGATAAAAATGAAATTATTCAAAGTGCTAAAAATGTAAAATATTATTCAGATTCATCATTTTTAAAATTACAATTACCTATTAATAAAATAATTAATAATAAAAATATAACAAAAATAAAAGTAATAGAAGGTGATTGTTTAGAATGTGCAATTAATTTAATTAAAAATAGTAAAAATACAAA